GTTGTAGATGGTCATGTAGAGCTGGCACATTCAGCCGTTTAAAATTCCAACGCAAATTATTGTTGGGATACCTTAGCTTAGTTTTGATGACAAAACTGAAGGCTATGACGGCATGATCGCTTTTTCCCAGAGGAGCCAGAATTGAGAGGTTGTCGACTAGGAATTCTTCGTTAGTGAATACACAGTCTAAGCGCGATGGTGTCTGACTGTTTCTCCAACGAGTTGCCGACCTCACATTTTCATATAAGCCCAAGTTATCGATGAGGTTGAAGAACCGAGCTTCAGTTGAGTTGTCGCCTCCAGTGTACGTGTGTTCCGCGAAGTTGACTCTAGGGAGATTAAAGTCCCCTAGAATCAGGATGTGTGTGAAACCGAGACGGATAGAGCGGGATAGTCCTTCCAGCATACGACTATCGTACTCGGTGTCGGCAGTTGGCTTCCTGTAAATGACTCCGACTAGACACCTGGAAGTACTAGACAACCTTACAGAGCACCATATGGATTCCTCAAGATTGTTAAACTCGAGGTTGTGAACCTGGTGCACCTCCAAGCAAGAGCTTATGTATATGGCTACTCCGCCCCCAATTCCTATTTTTCTGTCGTTGCGGAACAAAGTCATCCCAGGTAATGCTAACTCTTGATCCGAGAACTGAGAAGATACCCAGGTTTCAGATATTCCTATCAGATGGGCCTTGTTAGCGTTGCTAAGTTCACGTAGTTCATCCAGTTTGTTTGGTAAACTCGCGGCGTTCGTATATAAGCAGTTTATGCTTTCAATTTGGAACGCATGAGCTTCGTCCTGTTTTTCTGTATGAACCTTATGTGAATGGACAGGTAGCCCACCTATATGAGGTTTGCCGAGGTGGTAGGCCCTGTCCTTTACACGTTTTTTTATCATTTAGACAGTCCACAAGTGGAATGGTCAGCTCCAACTTGCCTTTGTTCTTGGTCCTGACTTCGTATGGCCTATCCGGGTGCATGTGGATTCCAGGTGGCAATCGACGTCTATTAGCACGAAATGCTTCCAGAACTGCAGCCGCCATGTGGGAAGATGGGAAGGTTATCTTCATTAGACGGGGTCTAAGATCACCGTCCTTCTTGGCTAGTCTCGTCACATGCTGAGTCAGTATGTGTTTGAGCCTCAAGGACTGTTTGATGAATTTCCATTCCCTGATGTCAGAATTTGATTGAGTAGGGTCTGCATTTTCCGGTATACCTTGGACAACTATGTTTCTTCCGCGGAAGAACTTCTCGCGAGATTCTTTAGGGACGTTTCGTATGATATTGCGCTCAGAGTACGGTATGTCGGGCAATATTCTTACGTTACCATCTGATTTCAGTAAGTGACTTGCTAGCAAGACGTCCTCTACGTCGGTACCATCCTTAAGTGTTACTCGGAGAAGCCTCGGGTGATTTAGATGCTTAGAATCCTTTCCTCGAGTGAGCCGGGTGACCGTCAAAGGCTCTATTCTAGGAAGTTCGAGCTTCTTGTTCAATTCACCCCACAGCATCCTGTCGTTTTTATCCTGCAGACTGAGAGGAAGGTCAGGATTGTCTACGAGGTTCATGATAATGAGAGAATCGTCACGAACTGTTGTTAATTTACCAGATTTCACGATGGGTTCACGTTTAATAACTTGTTGTTTGGAGATCAGTGTGCGTTCGTGAATCTTGGGCTCTTTATTGACCGGACGAACAGTCTTGGGGGTAGACTGTGCGACTAAATCACCAGTTATTTTCCGTGCAGCAACACTTGGGTTGCTCGGCTTAGGCGGTGATGCCTGGTTCTTTTGGGCTCTCTTAACGTGGGTCGAATCACCTGCAGGGTTTTTGGGAACCACTGTTGTGTTCAGGGACCCTGAGCTGGGAGACCCGAGTTTGCCTAGGGAGTCTAGTACCGTCGACGTAATCATGGTACTGAGCCTCGACACGTCGTCATTAGTGTTGATGGATGCTCCATCGATGGTATACCTATCGATATCCCTATTTTTGAGTCCGTTGCGCGCTCTTGTTTGTATATTGGTTTTTTTACTGTCGTGTTCCAAGTTAACTGACAGCTTATTCCGAAGACCTGTCAGTAGGACAATGATGTTACTCAGCAAGACTACTGCGTCCGTGTTGCACGTGACACATACCCACTTTTGGTCTGACTTGCTGAGTCTGTTGTGAGCAGTTGCTGTCAGATTTGTGCATGCTTCGTGGAACCAACCTTTGCAGTTGTCGCACTGCATGCCAGTTGTGACAGCAAAACGGCATCCCGGACGTTTGCATGAGTTTTTCATGACGGTGTTGAAGCAAACTATGTTATAGATGCTTGCAAAAGCTTAAGACCTTTTTTAAAAAAAACACTAAAATGCACACTGAAAACGGACAAAAATGGACAAAACGAGTGATATAAACTGAAACTAGTCTATACGTGAAAAACAAAAAAAAACCGAATAGTAAGCTGAGGCAAAACCACAGGTAACCACGAAACAGAAGATTTGTATATCTGAATTAGCGGTATGTATGAACGTAAGACGATATGAAAGGGACGACATGTCATTTGGGATTATTGACTGACTAGTTTGTTGGATCAATACTTTAAATTAGGCATTTGCAGTTAGTTAAAAGCTAAATGATCTGGGAAGATACATACTAGAGCTCTCAATTTCGGGGAAATGGCACAAAAACCCCAAAATTTCCCCAAAGTTGGGAGCTTAGGATACACCTCATCGGGACATTTAGTCCAACAGAAATTCCAGCCAACTGATCGAGTTCCTCATTACGGACGTATGTTATCCCGTGTTGTCTTGCAAATACGTTTTGTGGTAGCGTACGCTTTCTGATTGTGCCACAGTCGCACTTTCTGTGGTATACGGCTACGATAGCCATGCCTATAAATCCTAGGATTTATTGCCTAACTAAGCAAACAATAGTGATTTTTCCCGTGTACTAGAGATCGTAAATATTAGAAAATAGAGGTACAAACCCTTGAACTATTATTTAGCAGGACATCTTGTGTAAGCATATCGCGAACAGTTGCTTGGTATTTTTGCGACTAACGGCATACCACGACCTTATGCTCTTAAGTTCCTCTTAATACTTAGATTACGTACAACCACCTCGCAGTAGTTTCGTATGTGAATTATTAGTCACTTGCTAATCAAATATATTCATTTCTTACGAGGAGATTGGTAGCTTGGCCACCGCGATCATTTGATTCCTAATAGTTGAGTTTCGAATTACTGCGCCAGTCACAGTCACTTCTTCAGCAAAAATGCTAATACTACCACGGATCCATTGACGGGAAGTATAATAAATAAAGGGGTTTATTTTATTTATTTATTTTAAAACATAGATATTGGTACAAGAAGGCACCAAATACTTATGCGCCACACAAATCTCATTTGATATGTGTGAGGGCTGTGGTACTGCCCGGGTGCCCAAACCGAAGCAGGTGGTTTTCTTAGGGGGCCACACCCGGAGCCTTCGACATGAAGGTCTGATCAATAGATATGACTTAGTCTTAGTCTGTTGAAGGAAACTTCGTTTAAACCTTGGGGGTTTGTCTGAAAAAAAGGTCAAGCAACAATTAGATTACAGACAAATATTAAGGAATTGTAATTATACCTATAGTGTACACGAGTGTTTGAGTTGTGTACAAAAGTACAAAGTACTCAAAAGTTCATTTTCTCAACTTCAGTTCTCAAGCAGCTGTTTCCCAGGGTTATTTTCCGTGTACATGAGCGACATTAGGAATATTGGATGGAACTCATACTTAATAGACTTCTCTGTAGCATATTAACGGGTTTATTATTTTACCAGGTGGGTATTAAAGTCAGTCAAGCTGACTAGAATTTATGGAAATAAGGAATCGGTTCAAAAGAACATTATGTTGTCGTAATATAAGCTGACCAAAATTTTATTATCTAGTATAGCGGATGTAAGGAAATGGTACAAAAATTTAAGTATTTTAGTCACTAGAATGTACGCAGAGTTAAGGGCTATTAACAGATCCACCACACTAAATTTTACATTTGATGAGAATTGGAGTAAAGTCAACGGATTTTGATAGTGATAAATCTGGAGGAGTTGAAACCTTACTGTCTGCCATCAAACGTTCATCGTCTTTGTTTTCAACAAAAACTGATTTTAAACTATCATCGGAGATGACCCCTTACTGTTTTTGTCAACATTATAACTATTTAGCAACATCAGTCACCGAAAGTGGTTTCAGTTTACAGAAGTGGTCTGGGAGAATAATCAAGCTTCAAAGTTTACTGTTATCTACAATGACTGAACCATGTTGGTAGATGCAGACTACTTGGTTGGGGTCCGCGTGACTATCGTAACTGATGGTTGGAGACTCTTGGTGACATGGCTCAGAATCGATCACAGTGGCGTCTTTGTCTTCCCTTAAACTAAGAGATTAAAATCATTTCATATTTTTCTTTCTACTAACTAATTCTTTCTTCCTGTACTGTATCCTTATATGCAATCTTTCTCCTATATATTACCACCTTTGACCTAATCACTGCTATGAATCCGGTGTTCATCTTGTTGTGCTAATGAGGTATGGCAACCTGGACCGATGCATATATGTGCCTGGTCCTACGTTGTAGCTGACTGACTGCCTTCTAGTTGTTCAATATTTGATTCTTCAAGGGTTTTGGAGTTGATCCTTTGATTATGTGCACAACTAATTTTTGTTTTACTTATTCAATCTGTTTCCTCTAGCTACAACTCTCAGTGCTATGCTTGAGGACAGATATTTCTAAATTTCGTCACAATGGATTTTTTTATTGGTCGTACATTATCCAAAACACGGATATTATCTGCATGTTGTTTAATCATCATTTCGATTTCGACAATACACAGTAATATATTAGACAAATGCAGCATTTCTCAAAGTCGTTTAGCACGTTCCATCTTAAATGAGGTAAATTATTGAGTTTTGAAATATTCATTTAATTACAGAAAAGATTGTTTTCCCACTATTTAAATATACAGGTGTTGCTATGAACGAACTATGCCCTTTTCATCCTAAACATGATATTTATGCTATTCATGAACAAATGAAAAATAAAATTTCTGATTATGATTGGGAATGTCAAATGTGTGGTAAACGATTCTACACAGAAAATACATTTGATTTACATATTGGCAATAGACATGAAACAAATGCTTATAGTACCAGTCGTACAATTTGTTTATCGTCCTATTGTTCGTTACTTCGTTGTTCTGTACTAAAACCAGATATTGATTATGGTTATCAAGTGTTTTGGGATGAAGCATTATGTGATCCAAAGTCGTTTGAAGCTATTTCAAAGCAATGTGAGGTAGGTATTTTTTTACACAAGTATCTAATTAGGAACTCATTTACACTATACTTTGAGCGGGACTTGCTTGGATGCTAATACTACCACTACCCATCTGTTTAGACCGAGATAGAGTGGCCTCCGTCAAACCTTTTGTCGAGTGGTGTAGATTTGAAAGCTTGCACAGTTAAACCACTTTCCCTCCACTTGTGTATTACATTTAATCGAGTAGTAGTATTTGGGGCGAAACACGGTAACGTTTTAAGAAACTGATGCATACTTGATTAGTCACCGACTGAAATTGAGATATTTACAAGCAGTTGGCCTTCACTAATTATGTGGTGTTGGTGTTTCTACAAAGTCAGTTACTCTACCTGGCAACAAACAGTACTTCATTACCAGGTTTTACCTCCCAGAAAACGAAATACCGCTGCTGATGAATATAAAATATGTCACTATACATATTTCATTCATTCCAACTTAGGATTATTTGTGACGTATGAGAGATGTCTGTCTTTCAACTGAAGGACCAGTTTACTGCAGAACAGTTGGTTCTGTTATACTCAAATGTAACCTTTAAAATAAGGGATATGTATGGCTTACTCTTATTTAGTCATAAAATTATCTAAGCATTACTAGCGTACGTTGGCGCCACCGAGTAAGCAATGTTGAATTTGGACACAGAATACTTGAAAAAGATACCAAATCGGTTGATGACGTAATGAATTCGTTTCAATCTAACCCCTTTTGATGTGTATTACGTATCCCCAACCACCGTTTGCGCGACCGTCCCAATCAATGGTTGAAGACGTTAACTGACGTAGTTTAGAATCAGCCACAACGGTACGGAGACATTCACTCTTTGTCTTCCTTTGAATCTTGAGCTGTAGAATTATCTTATACTTTTTATTCCGCAAATTCGTTCTTCTGGAATTATATTGTCTATACCTAAACTTCCCTTTCTACCTCTAATATTACCACTGTTCCTATCTCGCCTTGCTGATACAATGTGACAAACTGAGTCAATGCACGTAATTGCTAGGTTTTACTTTTTTGATAACACCATTACATTTAAACATGTCAACCTTGGAAAATTGGTTAGAATGATAATATGGGAGCATGGGGATCTTGATTTATTGAATTGGTATGTAACTAAGTGACTGAGTCGGGTTTATTGATATTCAAAAGTGAAATATGCTATTGGTTTATCTCAGGAAATTTCCCATATGCACGAACAAATGCAGGTCAATACAACCAATGTAGCAACAGCCACTTCATCAGTAAGCCTCAACATACACAAGGGAAAAAGCCAGATCCCCAAATACAACACGGAGAACACCAGTCAGTCAGTAACATCGTAGAACTTCATACGTACGTACACCAGTTCGAATTGCCATACCACATTAGCACAGAGATACAACTATCGATTCAAATCCCGTAGTGGTAGAGGTAGTGATAGCATAGGCAGTAATCTAAAACATTAGGGTTTAAAGATGTTATTCAAGGAGTATAATCCAGTGAAATAAATTTGGAAGAAGAAAAAAACGAGACATGAAGAATTCAGAAGATTAGAATTTGGGAGAAAACGGAGAACACCAACCCAATCATACTTGATGCAGAAGCTTTAGAAGATGTAGAATCTTTCAAGTACCTGGGAAGCATCATCGACGTGCCATGTTTTATTGTGTAGGAGTAAGTTGGATGAAAGCTATGTGAGGCCAGAACAAAACATGGCACAAGTCCATGAAGTCACTGGCAAGTGGACTGATTCATGTTGGTAGGTGTAGACTGCCTGATTGGGATCCGCAAGACGATAGGATCCGATGGTTAGAGACCTTGAATGACATGGTTCAGAATCGTTTGCAATGGCGCATGTGCATCCAATCTTTGTGTTCTCCCAAATCCTAATCTCCTGAAATCTTCATGTTCCTTATTTTTCTCTTTGCAAATTTACTTTACTGGATCATACTCCTTGGATAACATCTTCAAACCCTCATCCTTCCGATTACTGCTTATACATTTACTACCCCTACTACTATGGGATTTGAATCGACAGTTGTTTCTCTGTGCTAATGTGGTTATGGCAACTTGAGCTTATGTGCGTACGTACACAGTTCTACGTTGTTACTGACTGATGAGGAGTAACAGGCGTAAGTAAGTAACATACATGATTTGGAGTAAGAGAGCTTCATAAAGTTATATAATCAGATACGGGTTATATTACTAAAGCAAAAAAATAAGTAACAATAGCTTTCTATCGAAAACGTACATTGAATCGCAGACACTTTATTCTCGGGAAGCATTATACCTAAATATATGGATAATCGGTGTTACAGCACTGTTAAGATGACGCAGATATGATAGTTTATATTATGACTGTTAAAAGATATCATTTTTGATGTGAAAGAACACAAAACTTCTCTGGTCAATACACACTTCTTCATAGTAGCAAGTAAACTGGTAAATATAAGTCATGATGGGTAATGGCAATGTATTATCTAAAATTCATCCAAAAGTGTGTGTTATGAAACGTGTAATTATTAAGCTTATGATATGAAATATTGGATCGATATTGAAAAAAATGTCTTAGTGGGTTTCAGCAGAAATTGTCTCAGAATTCCACATTTTTATGGGGAATGCTTTTATTAACAACAGTGAACCTTTTGTGTTGAGTTTCCTATTTTTATCGTCGATAAATTCGAGTTTTCTTTAGACGGAATTGTAGTGAACAGAACATCAATGGGGAACAATTGAATGTATTTTACACAAAATTACAGAACTTGTTAATAAAATCTAACAATCAAATAGTCAATATGTAATTTGCAAAACGTCCATCAATTGTCTCAAAATGACTCAGACTTGATTGTTCTTGCATTTTCATACAAATTGCATTCTGTTTCCATTTTTTACTGTTCGATCCTCTTGTCTCTTTATTATTTATTATTTATTTTAACACATAGACATTGGTACAAGGAGGCACCAAATACATATGCGCCACACAAATCTCATTCGATATGTGTGAGGGCTGTGATACTGCCCGGGTGCCCAAACCGAAGCAGGTGGTTATCTTAGGGGGCCACACCCCGAGCCTTTGACCTGAAGGTCTGATCCACAAGGCAGTGGAGCATCGTCAGGAGATGCAGTCCCATGGAAGCCGGTGACCAACGATTGGTTCATACGCCATTTGTTCCCGCAGGATACTGGAGCCCATGTGCACCATCAGTTTGGGATCCGGTTAAAGCGCCGGACATTCGCTTTTCGTCCTCTCATTTTCGTAGACAACACCCCCGCCACGAGAAGGCAATGAGTAGGACTTCCCTGGCAGAGGCTATATACGCGTGGCCATATGAGAGCATTTCGAGAGGGAGAGCCGTACCAGGGCATTTGGGGGTCTCTCAGCTGTCAGACATTCTGTTCACGATTAACGTCATATACTAATTATGTCGATATAAGCAGCATACACCACAGAATCACTAAACAGTCTTGTTATCAATATTTTCTGTTATTTTATTCATATTTTCTTTCTTTTTTTATAAACTAGGACATCTTGAATAAATGTACACCATCTGGAAATGACAGTAGCAGTACACAAATACGTCGTAAGTTATAAATTCAATTTCCTTTCTTTAAACAATCACTATTATTTCTATCCATCTAGTTTTGTAAATTTATTGATGTTAAAAGTAAATCACATAATGCTATCGATATTGTAGGGTGATCCAAGTTAGATCATAGATTGAGTACTATTAGGTAAGTTTGTGAATTTAGTGAGAAGTCATGATCACTGGATTTTTAAAATGTTCCCATATTAGGATGAAATAACTGTCCAGTGTTTCATGTTTTTCAAAGGATGTTCAACTTTCAGTAAACTTACTTACTTAAGCCTGTTACTCCTCGTGAAGGAGCATAAGCCGCTCACCAACACTCTCCATCCAACGCTTTCCTGGGCAATTCTTTTCTAACTTTTTCCAGTTGTTATTCATCCTTTTCATATCTGATTCTATTTCCCGACGTGAGGTGTTCTTTTGCCTTCCACTTTTCCGCTTCTCTTCAGGATTCCAAGTTAGCGCTTGTCTAGTGATGTTGTTTGGTGATTTCCTCAATGTATGTCCTATCCATTTCCATCATCTTTTCCTATTTTCTTCTTCAACTGGAAACTGGTTTGTTGTCTCCCACAGAAGGCTGTTGCTGATGGTATCCGGCCAATGAATGTTGAGTATCTATTTATAAATACTTGTATCTTCTTGATGATGGTTGTAGTAGTTCTCCGCAAAATAAAAGAGATTTACATTTTCAGATGGATGCTTTTAATAATGTTGTATTCTACGATTTAAATGGTTCAATTTTGAAACTCTTATTATTGTTCCGGACAACATCAGTGCCTACATCATGTAGAATCAAATCTTTCAGTTATTCCAAAAGTGTTATATCAGTTTGTTACAATGGCTTTTTTGTGATTGGCTGTCTTCATAAGTTTCACCACCTGACTAGCAGTTGATCTCTTTTATATTGATTGATAGATTAAATCTATGATTTGAATGCCATATCTCGAGAGATTTACTGGCATTGTTACAGTTCTTCTCATCCACAATTCCAACATTTTTCCAATCGGATTCCTGTGTTTTTTACATGTATTCATATCAATGGTCGCGTATCATATCATCATATTGTTAATCCATGTTCATGTATGTGCATAGGAGAAGACGGAGGGAGGTCCATTTTTACTCAATAAGATTTTTTTGTGGGTTTGGTACAACCCCGAAAATAAAACATTTAGGAATAAAAGAAAAAAATATCACCAGATTACTAAATTTTATCTGAAGTATATTGATACAAAATGCAATTCATTATTAGATCGCCAAAGCACATTAGCTTCTTGATATCACCAGTTTTTCTCTTGAATTGTATATAGTGAGGAATTTTTCGTGATAGCCTGATTATACTAGATCACTCTATAACTGTATAGGTTATACACATGACTCACAAATTATCCCATTAATGGGTGATTGGTTTACTGTTTAACTGCATCATCCTCCATGACCCGTAACGACTGATCTGCCTAATAAGGCGGAAGTCCGCAAGGAACTCAAACTCTTGAAGTGCTACAAATCACTCATTTCTGACCCTTTTTAAAGATGATAGTGACTTGTTAAGGAACTGTCTAAGTTGTTTACAAAGGTTTGGGAGCTAGAGAGCGTTCCAACATCATGCAATGAGTCGATAGTTGTCCCTATCTTTAAGAAGGGTTCACGTCTTTTCTGTAAAAACTATCGGGGGATAAGTCTACCTCCAATTGCGTCCAAACTGTTGGCTTCCGTCATACTTCGTAGGTTGTTCAGAACCCGAGAAAGATTGACTCGCGAGGAGCAGGCTGGGTTTCGTTCCGGTCGAGGATGTATTGATCATATCTTCACCCTTCGCCACATGTTAGAGCACCGCCATACTTATCAAAGGCCAGCAATCGTAGTGTTTCTTGACATCAGGACTGCCTTCGATTCGTTGGATAGGACTGTTCTCTGGGATTGTCTATTGAAGAAGGGTGTGCCTGAGAAGTTTATTAACATCCTAAAAGCCCTATACACAAACACCTCAGGCAGAGTGAGGGCATACAACCACCTCTCTCCATTGTTCCATTCGAGCAGTGGGGTTAGGCAGGGTTGCCCAATCTCACCATTCCTCTTCAACTTTGCCATCGATGACATTCTGGAAACAGCTCTGATGAATGTAAGTAATGGTGGTGTGGATCTGTTGCCTGGAGAAAGACTTCTCGACCTTGAGTATGCGGACGATATTGTCTTACTGTGCGATAATGCCCAAGGCATGCAATCCGCACTTAATCAGTTGGCAATCAGTGTCCGTATGTTTGGTATTTGCTTTGCACCTTCGAAGTGCAAAGTACTTTTACTAGACTGGCGGGATTCCAATCCTGTACTCACCCTGATTGGTGAGCAGATAGACGTAGTTGAGAAGTTCGTGTATCCGGGTAGCTGCATAAGTGCTAGTGGGGGTGTGAGTGATGAGATTAATGCACGTGTAGTGAAAGCCAGAGCGGCTCCTGCCAATCTGGGCCACCTCTGGCGCCTTCGTGATGTTAGTCTGGCTGTAAAAGGTCGGATCTACAACGCGTCGGTGAGAGCAGTTCTGCTCTCTTTTTGTGAAACCTGGCCTCTCCGAGTTGAGAATGTTAGAAGACTCTCTGTGTTTGGTCATCGTTGTCTCCGAAGGATTGCTGACATTCAGTGGCAACACCACGTTAGTAGTGCAGAGTTTGGGTACAGCCACAATAATGCATTTAGTGTTACTATCTTGAAACATCGTCTTCAGTGGTTGGATATTTCTTACGAATGTCATCCTAGAAAATTCCACGTCGTGTATTATTTGCCGACTCTGGGACTGGTTGGAAAAAGCGGAGAGGTGGACGTAAATTTAACTGGGGAAATTTTTTCTGGTTGTATTTTTGCTAACTGCACTACCTCTCCCATTAATATTATTTCACTTTATTATTATTTATTTATTTTAACACATAGATATTGGTACAAGAAGGCACCAAATGCATATGCGCCACACAAATCTTATTCGATATGTGCGAGGGCTGTGATACTGCCCGGGTGCCCAAACCGAAGCAGGTGGTTTTCTTAGGGGGCCACTCCCCGAGCCTTTGACCTAGAGGTCTGATCCACAAGGCAGTGGAGCATCGTCAGGAGATGCAGTCCCATGGTAGCCGGTGACCAACGATTGGTTCATACGCCATTTGTTCCCGCAGGATACTGGAGCCCATGTGCACCATCAGTTTGGGATCCGGTTAAAGCGCCGGACATTCGCTTTTCGTCCTCTCATTTTCGTAGACAACACCCCCGCCACGAGAAGGCAGTAAGTAGGACTTCCCTGGCAGAGGCTATATACGCGTGGCCATGTGAGAGCATTTCGAGAGGGAGAGCGGACTTTCCCCACTCTCGGCCGTACCAGCGCATTTCACTATCATGAACTAATTTCTGTTCGTTATTGTACTCCTTTTTCTTATGCTGATATTGGTACATAAACTTACTATGTGCGAACCGCTAACCAGATACTGAGTGAGGAAACTGGTAGTGAAAGTGTTGGGGAGACCCAGAAAATTTCTCGAAAAAATCCCCAAAGCGGCCCTGAAAACGCTTGGAAACATCCTATCCAATCAGTATTCAATAGACGTTTGTAAGAAATATCTAGAAAGCGAAAAGTCACATGTCGCATTCCCCACTACTATGTTTAGAAGGGTTCTGGAACTTCCCAGAAGACCAAGGTCATCTGAAATGTTATAAATACCCTGGATTTCCTGTACATAAAATAACCTCTGAGTAAATCGCTCTTAACATATTTCTCACCTTTTCTCGCGTGTTCAAGTTGCCGTTGTAGATTTAGTTTAGAGATTGCTAGAAGAGCTTAGCGAATCGATTCAAGCGTTCAACTAGAAGATTTATCAGAACGAAAACGTTTATTGGGCTAAATCAAATCACACGCATATTATATATATATGTATATACCCCTTAGAAAATGAAACTGCTTCTCAGTCAATTACACACGCATTTAAATTTTTGGTTGGCACAACATGACTTCGTTTAGTGAGTTTTTATTGACCCATTTTATCAATCATCTTTGTCAGTAACTTTTACTATCACTGACACCTAATATTATCTTACTGTTATGATATATTATGACAACTTAGATCAATTCACATATTGTGTTATTTGATCTGATGAATACTTTTCTCATTATTTTTTATCATCATACCTCTAATACCCGTATATCATGGACAATGATTATAATTGCATGGTTATCTAATAATGATAATAATGAACGATTGTAGAACTACTTCAAACTACATTATGTGATCAGTTATCTTGTGATCGATATTGGATTTTACCAGATTCACATGTAAGTTTTAATTGTGATAGATGTTAATTGGTTGTTAATTCAATTTGAAATGGTTTAAATTATCCTGTTGTTGATATTTTTGACTGATATTTTGTTATTCTTAGTTGGGATATGGGCATCTTGTGCCGATCTCCTCGATACAAACATTATGACGTAATTTGATAAAAGATAGATGAAGTGTGGCAAGACGCACGTTTTGTCCTGTTTGGGAATCATTTCTAGCTGAATGTACATGCATTCTAGGGTTGATGTCAATGTAGTACCTTTCGTTTCAAACGCCAGTGCATTTGAATCCCGGAATGGACACCAACTATGGGATCCAGTTACATTCAATTAAGATCAAGTCTCAAGTAAGATTAAATGCTCGTCCTGAATTCCGCTGTAACCCATATTTCGTCTGTTCTATATCTAATTGGTTATTGTTGATATTTTTGTTTCTTTATAGACAATTAATTTCGACTTTTACTATTAATGTTTCCCATATATATATTACCCCTTGTGGAGGAGCAAAGTCTGCTCCCTAGCATTCTCCATCGACCTCTGTCCTGGGAAATCCTTTCCTGTTATCCGTAATGTATGTCATATCCACCTCCAGCGTTTTTCTTAATTTCCTCTTTATTTAGTAGTTGGTTTGTTCTCTTCCATAGTAGGTTAAGCTTGTGATATCTGGCCAACGGATATTATTTATTTATTTAAAGACATAAACATTGGTACTATAGTGTTGTTTACTAGTTAAGCCCATATAACTTATTCTAGCTTCTGGATAGGCCAATTTATCCATTCTTCTTCTGTCATGTTTTGACCTTGTTAATTATTCACTTATCAACCGTGACTGTATTTATATGAGCGCATATGTGTGTACACTTCTTATTCTATTCATCATCATCTGACTATAAATATTGATTAACGCTTGGCTAAATGGAGTTGGTTCACATGCCTTCACTGCGCGTCATTTCGTTTCGCTCTCCTCTGTTCGCTTCTTCCCGCTCATTGTCTGCTCAGATCAGTGATTGTACAAAATATACGTATTCGAAATTCTTTCTCATATTTAACTTATTTTAATTCCGTTATTCACTAAAGTCGATAATTATATACGAGAATAGGCGACATATATATTTCGATAGCAATCATTCAATAGCGATCAACATATGATCTAATTGGAGTCAGATCCCGGGCCAATAAAATACAAGGATGCACCAAATACATATGCGTCTGATCCACAAGGCAGTTGAGCAACTTAAAGAGATGCAGTCCTATGGTAACCGGTGGCTAACAATAGGTTTCCCTCAGGATCCTGGAACCCATATACATCATTAGTTTGGAATCAGGGTTTCCCCACTCCCCTAGGTGAACCCTTCGTGTCCACCAACCCGGTTAAAGCGCCGGACATTCGCATTCCGTCCTCTCAATTTCATGAACAACAGTAGTGCCTCGAAAAGGCAGTAAGTAGGATTTCCGTGGCAGTGGCTGTATACGCGTGGCCATGTGGGAGCATTTCGAGAGGGAGAGTGGACTCCGCAGCCTCGTTCGTACCAGGCAATTCGGCGGCGGATATTAAGAATCTTGCGTAGACAATTGTTTATAAATAGTTGTATTTTTGGTGATGGCTGTAATAGTTCTCTAAGTTTCAGCTGCGTACAGTAGAACTGTCTTGATGTTCGTATTAAATATTCTGACTTTGATGATGGTTGCCGGTTGTTTTGAGTTCCATATGTTCTTCAGTTGTAGGAATGCTGTCCTTGCTGTGCCAATCCTTGCCTTTTCATCTGCACAAGATCCTCCTTATTTATCGAATATGCTGCCCAGATATGTGAAACTTTTAATTGAGATATTGAAATGATCAACGTTAGACCGCCATTAGAAACCTGGAAGCACTGGACCGCCGCTTCGTCCTAGTAAGGGGCCACTTAGCAGTGCGCATCCACGATATTGCCCGACCACATTGTCTTCCGTGGCTAACTGCCTCACACCTCACATGGGTTACCTTCACTGGTCACAGCTTCTCACTACAACTCCGAGATCCACCTCTCCAAGCTAGTCACTGGTCAGCCAGCACATCATAATAAATATCAGTATAGGGTTGTGGAGATTGTTGACTAATTTCATCATTCAGATTATCAATCGATCAATATGATGCCTGGTAGTGATAGATCATATGCTAACTGTCGAAATACACTGCACAAACCTGAGTAGTGTGATGAAAGTGAGGGTGTTGTTGGCAGGGGAGGTCGAAACCCGGCACCTTTAGTCTGGTACAAGAATACCCAAAATCTAGACCGCTAAGACGTCATTCGACGCTGTTATTGTCGCACTTTAACCAATCTACAATATTGCTCAACCTCCTTACATTATCTTCGTTGGCGAAATGCCTCACATCCGACACGGTTAAACTCCACTGGTCGCGGCTTTTCTTTAGAACTCGGAGAATTATCTCTGGAAGCTGGTCACTAGTGAGCATATGATAATTATCAGTATAGAGTTGTTCAGACTGTTGGCTTTTAATTGAGATCTTAAATCGATCAGTGTTAGACCACCATTGAAAACCTGGAAGCACTGGATGTCCGTTTCGTCAGTTCATTAAATTGGGATTTTATACTAATTACTTAATAATGTACTTGTTTTGTACTCTTTTTTTCATATCAAAGATTCAAACTTCTGTATGGGAAAAATTACTCACTGCATTTATCGTAACATCTGGTTTATTGACTTATTATTCTGTAATATTTATGAGATTAAGGTAAGTTCTCAAAGTGTGGTAAATAGTAATAAGTATGGATATTTCTTTACTACTTCACATTAAAATTGGTTTGTTTTTTATTAGTACATTGTGTATAGAATGTGTGTTTCATAGTTAAGTATCAAGTTTGATCATTTTGTTCAGGAATTTTGAGTTTATATCTCAGTCGACTCCAGTGGTTGGCAACCATGACCACGGCTAAATCTGAGTCCAATATCTCCAGATTTCGCGGCGTACGCTTCGTTCCTAGACTACTGAATCAGCATCCATTGGTTTACATTTACATCTGTATCATGTCTTAGGGCGTCCATAGTGTGATTGTCACATAACTTCTAAGCTGATCATTGCTACTCGTCGGATTAAGTGGAGCATGATGCCTTGATGGCAGAATTATTCGACGTTTCTCCACTAGTTCACCGGTTAGATCTCTGTTTGGCACTTTGATTTGCGCAGACGGAAATTGTCAATTTAGTCCTCACACCTAAGGTACTACTCAAAACCAAATATATGAACCATCTATACTTTGAAAATGGGTCACCCGGATTAGAAGAAATGATTAAGGTTCTAACCACCTCTCTTAGTTGGTGAAGTTTTGCACCGACTTTCTTTCAATTTGTCTTCTATGCTTAGGGCTTTACGAACTATCTTCATTTTTATTCACTAAAGGTGTTCATTGTAGATGCAAGCACTGCTTTGAACAAACCTGACAATTCTTGGCGAAATTTTTGAACCTAACAGTAGGATAGTAATTGCAAAACGACTTTTGAACGGTATCCATTCAGATGGTGACTATCAAAAGGACGAGTGTAAGAAAGCGCATATTCATGAGGGCAACCACCAAAAAAGCACATGTTAATAAAGATGATCATTGAAAGAGGGAATAACATTTTTAATGATTTGAAATATGCTTGATTTATTCTTCTATCCCTTCGATCTATACGATCAATCCAAAACGTCGTTTCCTATATGTCTAATGAAGAGTCTACTTTCAAAATATACTGTGATTGCTCGAATTCGGTAAAAATTTGTTACTCTTATTACTACAATCATGTTACCTCATATGTCTATTTTAAACAGATGGGGGATAATCTATTTTAGAGAGATTTTTTAAAAAATGCTCTAGAAATGTTTAGTGAATTTCATACTGAATGTACAATTGACACTGTTGTAGCCACTATCTGATATGCCGCTTCTATTTAGGAAGATGATTGGTCTTTCATTCTGTCGACTTCCTTTTTACATTTACCTTTATTCAGAACATAATTGTGTTCTATTGGGTGTTTTGTAATAAATTCACATATCGTATAACAGCGCGACATACACACTTCCCCGTACGATTTTCCATACTTCTCTAAATATTCTTGTTGTGAATTAATTTCTCTTTTCTGGATGCATAATCATTCACTACTAGAAAGTCTGTATTCTTATTGTTCTTCATTAATTCCAAAACCATTTAAATGAGGTGTAGAATATATAACCTAGAATGTGTAATTCGTTAACTTTACATAGAGATAGTTTCAATTGTTGAGATCATGAGTCAATTAAAGCTATATCACCATGAAAAACCTGGAAGCAATCGACGGCCGTTTCTTCCTATTGTAGGACTCTTCAACAGTGTGCATCTACGATCCCGCCCCGCGGGATTTGAACCCAGGACCTACTGATCTTGTGTGTGAGCACTTAGCTTCAATTAACTCATGATCTCAACAATTGAAATTACTAAAATTTCCACAAAACCCCTGATATATATATAGTTGTTTTATTTCATATACCATTACATTTTCATTGAAAATATATTTACATTTTTGATTATTTGAACTGGTCTAACAAACTGGTTTTCTGTTGGGAATCCAACAACCACAAACATTTCTCTAAATAGATTATCTGTTTTAAATATGCATATGAGGTAACATGATTGGAGGAATAAGAATAACAATTTGTTACTAAATTCAATCAATCACAGTATATTTTGAACGTAGATTCTTGGTTAAATGTCTGGAAAACGACGTTTTCGATTGGTCGTATAGAGCGAAGGAACAGAGAATAAATCGAACCTATTTCAAACCATTAAAAATGTTCTTCTCAGTATAGGGTTGCGGAGATTATTAAACTTTTGATTCAGATCATAAACCGATTGGTGTTAGACCACCATTGAAAACCTGGAACCACTGGGCGGCCGCTTCATGTTATTGTGGGACTCATCAGCAGTGTGCATCCACGATCCCTCCCGCGGGATTCGAACCCAGAGCCTTCAGTCTCGCGCGCCACTTGGTTGAGGTTAGACTAAATGTTAACTAAAGTAAGCGCTCATCTGTTAGTTGAACCATTTAAAATTTCTATCAACAGATCCTTATCAAAGCTTGGGTAACCAGTCGATGTTTAGGCGAAATGCGGTGCATTTTGTTTTTCATCACTTGATTGTTTTCATTATTTACTGAAAAGAATACTATTTATAAACTTTCTATTATTTTTTTGTAGTTCATCGTTCTGTCGTTTACGTATTTCCAGTCTTTCTATTCCACGAAGCAGTAAAAAAGCATTTCGATCCTATTAATGACAAAAAATAAAATGAATCTTTACACTAAATGACTGATTTCGGTAATCAAAAAAATATAAAATGTTGTACAGTTTACAAAATAAATTCCGTTTTTATTTTGATTATAACAATCTGGTATTTCTTCGTTGGTTGTATTTTGTGATTTGATTTACGTGAATTCGAATCTTGATGAATAATAGTGGTTAATGTGTCATGATGTTTTAACTTGCAAATACTACTGATTTCAAATTTCAGTGTGATGTGAACATCAACATCAGAGTGCAAGAAAAATTTAACTAAGAAGTTTCGCACAAAAGTATACTTATTTCTTGAATCCGACTATTAGTTATGCATTAGTTTGCAAAAGACATGTTCAAATTTGTACTTTCTAGATAATAGGGTTTTTGACTTTATTCATCAACTGCACATACTACTGTACTTTTTTTCATTTGTTACGCTTTAATGGTCCGGGATCTGACTCTAAGTAGATCGTATGAATGATTGCTGTCAAAATATACATCCTAACTTTTCTCGTATATGATTATCGACTTAATCCGCGTTAGTGAATATAACGAAATTAAATAAGCCTAATACGAACAATGGATTTTGATTATGTGTATTTTATGCACTCAGTGATTTGAACAGGCAATCAACGAGAGTGATGTGAAATGACGTGCAGAGTGGAGAAGGCATGTGAACCAACTCGATTCAATCAATATTCATAGCCAGGTAAAAATAGGTTACAGACATGTGGTGAATAGGATAAGGTGTGTATACACACATACGCTCATATAAAAACTATTAGGGTTGATAAGTGAATAATTAACAAGATCAAAACGTGACTCAACAATAACGGATAAATTGGCCTGTCCAGAAGCTGGTACAAGGTATATGGACTTAACATGGTAGGTGACACTACAATGGATCTAATTTGTCCAACTGGGTTTTCTCGGGTGAAAATCACGTGGATATATTCAAGGTTTATTTTCTTTGAATTAAAGCAGTGTATTCTATGGGATTATGTTGTGATGAGACTTTTCTCAAAGTTTCAAATAGGCTAGTTAAAAAATAAAACTTGAAAACATTCATCAGCTAGTCTCTTTCTTCTGTGGATGGTAATAAAGGTGTTCCGGAATACTCTGTTTTGTAATAACAACAAAAATGTTGCATTCTTCAAATAAAATGTGTTTACTGGGACCAGGATTATCACTTACACCAATTTCAACGAGACTATCTTCACTTGGTAGTATATGGAGTAGGGTTTGTGAAATTTTTCTACACTATATTCCAGTTAACGCCGGTGATGTATATGCTAAAGCGGTTGGATAGTCCACGCGATACTGCAATTTTAATCATCAATCAGAACGCCAAGAAGATCGGACAAACAACTCACTGTATTGTATTCTCGAAACTTACAATTCATGTGATTATACGCACTAAGTACAAGATTATGACGTACTATAAATACAGACGAGTATACGTTCCTCAATTATGTTACTAAGGTTTTATTTGAGAAGAAACAATCACCACAATTGAATGGGGATGGTAAAACTAAGAGAAAAAGCTGCCAGAGTTTGAAACCAAAGATTTGTATCACTCGAATGTGATGTTAGGAAAGATAGACAACGAGAGGAAGAGATAATAAACATCAGTACTAAATATAATACACTTCTTGCCTAATGAAACAGTTCATTCTTTCACTGACGGGAGATCTAAGTCCAAGATCCTTTTTATCTTATGCATCCTCGTTAGGATCTTTAAATCGCCCAACACAAATGAGACAAAAACAGTCAGTAAATTCATAGACTGATCCATTCTTCATTTAACCATTTCTGGTCTTCTCTAAGTTAATTCTACACTTGCCAGCATAGTATATTAAGGTAGGCTATGGAATCAGATACATGTGGCACGTCCCAACCATTCATAATTTCATGGAAACCACTTATCATTTTGTATTCGCTATACTGTGTTAAACCTTGAAATTCTTTACTTAGTGATTGCACTATACACACAAACAAGCATTTGTTCCAAAAGCTCATTGAATGTATTATCAAGCTTAATACAACCATACATGAATACAGCTGTATATATATAAATGTTTTATCTAGTTATTAAAATGTATAAAAGAGCATGTTGGATAAAAAGAATACAATTTATGAATTAACTTTTCATGTTATTAATACAGAAAGTCAAATAACAGAGAACGTAATCTAAAACAGTCTTATGGTATGTATCGAAAAGAATAAGGATAGTTGGATTTGTTTGAGTATTTTTTTATCAAACAAAAAGGTGAATATGTGTGTCAACTTTGTAACATAGTTATTATTCCTCATCTTTATATTTGAGTCATCAGACAAGCATAGACTTAGGGACAATATAATCATTGACCAACCAATTAATCGATCAATTATCATCGTTGAGGACTGATGAGTTTGTATTGTTTCTTTGATTGACTATTTGATGTTCTTTGTTACTGTTAGTATGTTGTTTACCACTACGACCACCTTTCTGTTGTGGTTTTGTCTGAGATGTACGTTTGGCTGCAGCGATTGCTGCACGCTGTGCTTCACGGGCTAAATGATGATAAGATTGTGAGATTAAGGAAACATAAACAACATTATTTTAAATACTCGTATGGTATGAAATAAAACGAGTTTTACATGGAAGAATATATTGCATGTATAAACTTTTAGTATCACG